TTGTAGTCCTGGCGTGCTCCCCTGAGGGGAGCTGGGTGTGAGGGTGGTGGCCATTTTCTCCGCCCTGTTCCTCCTCGTTTCTTGACAGCCACGGGTCATCTGAATACCCCAGACCGCGTGATAGGCCGTGCAGCCTGCAAGGTCCAGCTATGCCTCGCGCGGGGCGTACGGGAACCTGAAGGCCGCACGCGCAAAGTTGTACCCGAGCAAGCGCCATCCTGTCTCCCCCAGAAACAAAACGCGCACTTCGTTTCAGGAAGCCAGCAAGAGCAGAAAAGGATTTTTCCAGCCCCAAATGAATTGTGACGGCAGGAAACCCTGACCGCAGAGGCTAACTCTGGAGCTCGGCCCCCGACGGAGAAGCACGGCGGCCATCTTGCAGCCGGGTCTCCATGCTTCTATTCCAGCAAAGGAAAATCAGCTTCCCCGCTTAGGACCTGCACATCCCAGAGGTTCCTGGCTGCAGGGTCTTTTACCTGCAGGGTAAAAAAAGGAATTTTACCCCCTGGTCAGGCCGACGTAAACGGGGCGGGGGGGGGCTTGCTTTCCTCGGCCTTTGCCTGGGGTGTTTGGTGTACACATGTACATATACACGTAAGCATGTACTAAGAAAAGTCAATATGACCTTTTATAAAAGCAGGACGTTGGCTAATACAGCATAGCGTGTGCAAAATTGAAGAGCACGTCCCTATCCACTCTCACCCGCACACGTGCAAACCCTTTCTCGGGGAGCAGTAAGGATGCTCACATGCAGAAAGCCCTGCTCACGCTCCAGTGTTTGCTGGCCCAAGGACTGTGCTTGCAAACCATCTCATACCACAGCGTCCCAGGGCTGACGGATGCTCAGCTTGGCAAGCACAGCTGGGTTTTTGATGGTCACACAAATGCCCTCGTGGGCAAAGGCAGTGGGGAGGTTAGGGCAGCATTAGCAACCTCTGCATGCAGGGATTTGTTAAGAAAGGAAACAGAGGATGGAAGAGAAGAGAAGTGCCTTTACCCGCTGGATTAGAAGTGGCCACGTCCAGTCTCGATACAGAAAGGCCCATTTCAGTTTTCTTTGTAAAGAGGAGCAATCACTGAGAAAACAAAGGAGTGACCTGACCTCTGGCTTTCTTCAGAGCGCTCTTTCCGCAGCATCTAGGTAAGGACCACAGGCCAGTCCAATCGGGGCTGTCTCGCTGTGGACTGAAGCTCATTTGACAACAAGAAACTACGCCTTTGCTTCCTTCACAGCCATCTCTGCCAACGCCACTGAAGGCATTTCTGCCAGCTTGCCCGCTCTGAACAATGCCGGGCGTTCAGTTCGGCTGGGCAAAGGGAGGAAGCTCCGGGCTGACTTCAACAACCTTCTGGAAGCTAGCAGCTGGCTCGCAACAGCCGAAGCTGAGTAAGCAGTTGACGGGGGGGGGTGAAATCAGAACCATATGCTTCCAGCGTGTCTTCAGCTGTCATCAGTCCTTGTCCTCCTGCTAGTTCCAAGACAGCACTTGCGCAGCCCGTTTTTGTTCAAATTTTGAACCTGAGGAGGCTCTAAAAACCGATTACTTCCAAACAGGCATCTTCATGGAACTCCTTTGCTGCATTTGGGCAGCTGGTTCCCCTTCTCCCGGCTTGCATTGTCTTGCCAACGTTGGAAACTTCGATCCCCAGCTTTCATTCTGGTGCCGGGAGGAGTTGCAGCTTTCTTCTTATCCGATGGGTTGAAGTGAATTGTCCCGGCCGTGAGAGTTGGGTTGAAAGACCAGACCCTCGCAGAGTTTGGGATGGCTCATCCAGCACATTTAGAACTTTTCCATCACGTTTCAGAAAGCGGGGAGGATGTTAAACCTCTCTCAGAGCTGTTGCACCAGCCAGGAAGTTTCACTGCATCTTTTGTAAGCTCCTGGGTTGCCCGCTGGGCAAGGCAGTTTCAGAAAAGCAAGCCAAACCTTCCTAATGTCTAACCCCACCCAATCCCCCTCCCAGCAATTTATAGGACCGCCTGCACCTTTGCACTTGCACTCGTTCGGAGTTGTCTGTTTGCCTCGCCGCCCACCCAATTTTAACCCATGGCTGCATGCTGGGCAATTAGCCCAGATGGTAGAGTGTTTGCCTAGCATGTGCCAAATAGCAGGATTGATGCTTGTCTTCTCCAGAAGCTGGTGTGGCTTTTTGCCCCAGCATGCCCACACTGGCTGTGTCCGAAATGGAGGCTGGGCCAAAGGGCACATTCCTCTGTGCCTCGCAGGAAGGCTGTTTTGCTGAGTGAGAGCTGTGGTGCGGCCTGGCAAAAAAAGCAATGGCAAGGGGCAGGCACAACAGAGCTCTTGACTCAGAAAAGTTATGCTTGGGCAATGCAGAAGAGATGGGCACGAGGCGGGGCCCGCTGCTTGAGCTCCAGGAGGCTGCCCAGTCCAAAGGGCCTGGCATGGTGGTGGAAATAGAAATCTTGCCTAGGCGGAGGGCACCTTTGGCTCTGTACCCTTCCCAGATGCACCAGGCTGGGGCAAAGAGCACGTTCCCCTGTGCCTCGCAGGAGGGCTGTTTTGCTGCATGAAGGGTGAGCTGTGGGTAGCTCCTCTATAAAACTGGGCCAATGGCCATTCTAGCTGTGGCACAACAAACAAGGGCAAGCGGCTCTTGGCTTGGAAAAACAAGAGACCTCTTGCCTTGGAAAAAAGGCAGTACAAGCCAGACAGGAGCCAAGCCTACAATCATCTGATGCATCATCAGACACTTTATCCATTGTGCCATTGACCCAAGAGTGCCCGGATATAGCCAAGTGCTGGTGAAGGGTAAGCCCACTTCCTGGTGCTCTGCCCAGCACCCCCTTTCGCTCCTGGTGGGGTCACAGGGGCCTGAGCAGGTGGGCATGAAGCTTGCCAGCAGGCTCTTTGGCCCCAGTTCTGGGCCTGTGCATCTGCCTTGTTCCCAAGAGCTGTGCCTGAAGGATCCTACGCGTGGAGGCCTGCGACACCTGAGGCCAGTGCAGCGTGACACCTTGAGGCACCCTTGGGCTCACAGCCTCATCTTCCTTCGATAGCTGAGGTGGGGAAGTGGAGGACTATAGCCTCACTTTCTATGAAAATCCTTGTGATGCTGCGTGGGTGTGAGGGGAGCTGTGGCTGGTGTGGGGTTGGGAAGAGGCGTGCTGGCCTGTGGCAATGTGAGCGGGGCAGCAGGCCTGGGGAGTATGCCGGGAGGAGTGGATTAACACACAGGCCTGCAGGGCCTGGACCCAGGGGCCCCTGCCAGTCAGGGGCACCCTGGAGCACCAGGGTCAAAACAGCCCACGTCAGCATCCTGGCCACAGACATCCAGGGCAGGCAGTAGACACCTCCTCCCCTCCAGTTGGGCCAGGGCCAGGAGCTTGGTGTGGGCATGGGGATCCCTGCAGGTGATGGCGGCTTCCTGGGGCCGTCTGCTGCCAGGAGGCCACATGGGTGGCCCCACTCCCACTCCTGCTCTTGCTGTTTGCCATCTGTGGGCAGCCACCAAGACCAGCACTACTGGGACAGGATGGGACAACCCCACGCCACCCCATCTGGGCTGGCAGAGGGCCCAGCCGAGGAACGGGTGGGCAGCTGGAGCAGAGCTCATGCCCCCACTACAGCTGGTCTTGGCCCCAGCCCCAGTCCATCCCATGGTACTGGGGGACCACAGCTCTGGCTGCATGACACCCACTGGGTGAATGGGATGGGCTGGGGCTGGGGCCACCTTCATCTCAGCAATGCTCATGCCCCCTAGCTGACCCCTGGATGCACCAAGGATGCTGGGTGGGCCCAGCTGCAGCCCCCTGGCAGGCAGAGAGGGAACCTGCCCTCACCTGGTGGTGTGGGGGCCTGCAATTTTCTGTTTGCCTAGAGCCCCAATAAAGTTTCCCCATTTGCTCTAGCATGGGACTTAGCTCAGAGGGTAAAGCACTTGCTTTGCCTACAAGAGGTAGAGGGATTGATGCCTTCCTTCTCCAGTTTATCATGTTTCCTTCTTTGCTGTGGCTGAAATGAAGCCTGGGCTAAAGAGCATGTTCTTCTGTGAAGGCATCCTCCTTTGTTTGGGACATTCCAGCCTCCCCTTCTGATTTTCATTCTGGTTCCTGGGCTCAACCTGGTCACATAGGCAACTGGGCTGGAGAGAACTCCCTCCCATTCCCTCTTATTGTGTTAAGGGGATGCTGACAACTTTAAAAAGGTTTGGTCTCCATCCACAGTATTCAAATACTACCTGTTTCTGATTTGATCCAGGTGATGAGGTCAGAAAAGTGATAAAAGGGTCACATCTGGTCTGGGAAGTCACTCCCTCTTCCTCTGGGAGGCTTTTTGAAAAAGGCTGATGTCTCAGTTGCCCCATGACACTGTAGCATTAGCTCAGTGGGTAGAGTCTTTGTTGAGCATGTGGGAAGTAGCAGGATCAATGCCCCCATTCTCCAGAATACCATGTTCCCTTTTGTGGGGCATGCAGCACTGAAATGGAAGCTGGACAAAGAGCACAGTAGCAGGGCACTAAGGCGCCTGCTACTGAGAGCAGGGAAGACTCCTCAGGTGCTGGTTGCTGAGGCAATTAGTAGGATAATGACCCGTACCTGCCTAGCCAGAGACAAGAGAAACAGCATAGATCCCAGTAAGGGGCAGCCAAGGGAAGCAGGCCTGGTAGAAGCTGGGACAGCGGGGAAAGGTGAACAGAGGACCCCAAGGAGGGAAGCCTCCTGCTTAGTTTGCCAAGAATGTACCCAGGCAGCCTGAGACCTGGGGCAATGCGGGCCAAAGAGGGACCCCGAAAAAAGGAAACCAGTGGAGCCTGGTAAAGAAAGGGGGGCAAAATGGCAACAGACAAGGAGGAGGCAACTACCACCAAAAGGAGGATCAAAACCGGAGAAGAGACCTCAGATTTATGTAAATGGCCTCCCTAGACAGGTTAGGTGGTGGATGGTAAGAAGCCTCGTTGAAGAAAAAGTAGGGAGTGTAGCCTATGTGACGGTATATAAAGGACCGGGAGGAAGGTCCCCTGGCAGGGGCAAGATAGAGCTCTGGAAAGAAGATGCCCAGAAGGTGTTGAGGAGGCAGTGAGAGATCTGGGGAAAGCTTCAGGAGCTCCAGAAAGGCCTAAGGAGACAAGGAACCCCACAACTCGCCCTAGGGAAGAGACTAGGGTGTACAGGGGTGAGAAGGCGCCTGCTACTGAGAGCAGGGAAGACTCCTTAGGTGCTGGTTGCTGAGGCAACTAGTGGGATAACGACCCGTACCTGCCTAGCCAGCTGAAGAAAGGGGCAGGGCCTGGCTCCTATATGAAGCACAGGCAGGAGGCCAGAGTGGTTCCAGACCAGCAGCCAAGGGAGAAGGAGCTCCCCGCCAGAAAAGAGAAGCTAAGCCTGGATGCCAGAGCCACGCTGGTCACCACGGCAGGATAGAGAACCCGGTAGTCCTGAGCATAGTTCTAGCTAGTGGCTTATGTTTATGTGGTAGCCAAGAGGCTGGTGTTTGTTATGTTTGTGTTTGCTATTGGTTACGCCGGTGGTTTGGGCAAGGCTATTGGGGGATGGAGGAGGCCTCCTAGGGGACTCCCAATAGTGTAGGGACCCCAGTGTCAGGGAGGGTGCTGCATACGGGGTACATAGACCCCAGCCCCAGAGAGGGGCAGTTGAGAAAAAGCCCTGCCAGCAGGGTTCAAATAATGCTTGTTTCTGGTTGGAACCAGGTGATGAGGTCAGAAAAGTGATAAAAGAGTCAGGCCATCTGGTCTGGGTAGTCATTCCCTTTTCCTGTGGGAGGCTTTTTGGAAAAGACTCAAACCTCTCACCTCTGTGGGTAATTAGCTCAGAGGCTAGCGTCTTTGCTTAGCATATGAGAAGTAGCAGGATCAATGCTTGTGTTCTCTAGCTTATCACATTGCCTTTTGTCCCGGCATGCCCATGCTGAGGATGCAGCGCTGAAATGGAGACTGGACAAAGGGCACGTTCCTCTGTCCCTTGCATTGGGCCTGTTTTGCTGCCTGAGGGGTGTGGTGCAGCCGGGCAAAAAAACCCTAGCAAGCACTAGGCGCTCAGACCATAGGGCTATGAACCAGGCAGGAGTCAAACCTATAAACTTCTGACTTATAGTCCGATGTGGTATCTATTTTGCCACTAGCCAAGTACTCCGGCAGTAGCTGCCAGCTGCTGTTGAATGGTCACCCCACTTCCTGGTGCTCCACCTGGAGCTCAGGACTCCCTTTCCCTCCTGGTGGGTTCATGGGGGCACAGCTGGGTGGGCATAGAGCTTGCCACGGGCACCATCACTTCAGGGACAGGATGGGACAGCCCCGTACCACCCTGCCCAGGCCAGGAGAGAACCCAGGAAAGTGGAGGTCTGGGGATAGAGCTTTTGCCCCCCACCAAAGCCGGCCTCGGTCCATCTGATGGTGCTGGGGGACTGTA